CGGGCTGGTTTGCCCGTGGACACACCTGCTTGGCTTCGATACCCAACCTTGCAGCGACACTCCATATGGGGAGGAGGTGGTGATGGAAAGGGAACTTGTTTTTTACCATCAACGATGCCTTCTAACGCCATCAATCGAAACCCATTCAGTAGGGTCGCTTGGAGTCCGAAGAGAAAGCTAGAATGTAGCGGCACCTGCGCTATCCCGACCTGGTGAGGCTTAATGATATGGCGGCGAACAACTGCGCCCACTATATAGATTTCGATTTCCCGTGCTTATTCGGCAAACTACAAGTCATACTTTCCCAAATATGTCTTCCCATCGTGTTGTTTGAATCATTCTGTCTGGGAGAAGACTCAAAATATGGATGTTCTGGCGATGGTACCTAGTTGGTTAAGAAAATACAATTTAACCGAATTCTGCGCAAATATTCACTCAAGCTTGGTCGCGGGTTGGCATCGGTGCGTCAGTTCACGTCTGTTGAGCGGCGTCATGCTAGTGTCCCTGCGTCGCCATGGTGACGCCTGTCGGGCGGCGGGCCCTGAATACAGCACTGGTTCCCTCCGGACACAGTCAGACGGACCCGAGAGAGCGTGGGAACTCCTCTCGCATGAAGAATCGTTTTTCGTAGCCGCCTGGCAACAGCACTCTCGGAAGATGGGACTTCGCCGGGATATAAAACTGCTGAAGGTGCTCGGAATATCGGTGATAGAAGCATTCCACACTGTTAACGCAAAACATATACAATCAGACTACACTGCAGGGTGTAATGACGATATTTATACTTCCCTCAAACAATTTCTGCACTATTTTGCATGGGTATAAATGCATCACGTAATGAGCGTCGCTGCGCAGTTAGAAGCTGTGGTTAGGTGCTGTGGCTGGTACCGGCCAGACAACTAACGGCGCTAATGAGAACGGCAGCCAAATCTTTGTTTCGAAATTAACGTCTGTCAAACCATTCAGTACGACCACTGCATACGTCTGACAAGTGGGGCTTTCTTTCGTACTAAGGTCCTTATAATGCGATGACCTCTTATACTGAATTTATCTTCAGGGATTAGAAAAAGCAGAATTGATCCCTGAACCAAGAACCGTGACCCGTGACCCGTGACCCGTTCCCAGCGGTAATAAATTGAGAAATTCCTCGAAGCAGTGAGAAAATCTTAGAAACACGTGAAACACCTCACTTTAGCAGAAGCGTCTAAGCAATTATTGTCCCAGTGCATTTTGCGTGTGTGCACTTTCGGCGCAGGATTCGGGAACCACGTCAGCTTTGTAATGAATGCCGTGGTTTATGAAAAATCGAAATGTGAGTTTAACGCAATGAAATTCATATCAAGAAAACTGTGTGGTATAAATAGCCATTGCATGATGTGGGATGCGCAAACGTTAGTGGATGCATTTTTTCAGTACAATTTGTTCCACTGCAGGTAGTTTGCTGCAAATGCGGCGTGGATATTCGCTGTCCTCATCACTGCCGCGCCAGTCCCGTCTCCAGAAGCCACCATTTGAGGGACCCGGCCGTGACAGAGCGCGCCAGAGGGCCCCAAACCCAATCATTGAAGCGAGCTGACACCACGAGGGATCACATCGTAGATGTATCAAGCTGCAAGGAGTGTTCAACCACAATAGTGTACTTGACTGGAAACGCATGTACGTCGGTGTTTAACACCTTACATGCAGCACAACTGGTGTGTGAACGTCAGCTCATAATGACCAGAGCCCGCGGCTGGGGTCCGTAAGCTTACAATTAACCTGAGTCATTTTCAAGATGGAGAAGCTGAATACTGCTTCCCCAGCACCTGCCCAGCATAAGGTCAATTACCACCACACATTCTGTCAGTCGCCAGGCAACATTCTCATTCCTGCTCTTCAATCCGCCTGCATTAACCGCAACGCCCCCACCCCCTTCCTGTCCATTAGCGGACGGGTGGCGTCGGACCGCGCCGTGCGCCGGCGCCGCCGCCGCCGCCGCCGCCGCCTCGCCGTCGTCGCCGCCCCGCCGTCTCATCGCCGGTATGTACGCGCACCGCCGCCGCCTCGCCGTCGTCGCCGCGCTGCCGCCTCATGGCCGGTGTGTACGTGCGGCGTGCAGATCCGGGACGCCCGCCGCCACGGGCCGCCGCCGGGCGTTATTGGCCTCGTCGGTAGAGCCCGGCTCGGTGCGGCGCGGCCGGCGATTATCGATCGGCCACGCCGACTCACGACCGGCGTGCACCGCCGCCAGAAGTCGGCAGCGGGGCCGGCGTGGGTCCCCGGGGTCCCCCGGCCGGCGGCGGGACCAGCGGGACCTCTGTCGGCAACCGGGTCGGCGTGGGTCCCCGGGGTCCCCCGGCCAGCAGCGGGACCGGCAAGACCTCGGTCAGCAGCGGGCCGGCGGGACCACGGTCGGTAGCGGGACCGGCGGGACCTCGGTCGGCAGCGGGACCGGCACGCCGTGGGTCCCGGGTCAACCTGCCGGTGCAGCGTCATGACATTCTCCGCGGGGTCCACTGCGTCGCCCGTCGCCGCAGTTGATATGAGCTGATGGGTCGGTTGTCGGCCGAGTTCACTAGTGATTGCATTGGTAGTGTGTGAGCTTTCCGGTTACCGAGGCAACCGTATAAATTATCAAGCTTCGATGAAAATGAAATCGTGCCGAGCAGGTACTTATAGTTCGCCACCACTCTCTTCGACGGGAATGTCTGGCGGGCGTCTGAAATGCCCAGAGAACTGCTTAGTTTTGCAAGTCAAGTTGAAGTTTGCACGGAATCAGGTCTGATGTTAATGTGGACAGACAGTGCTCGGCCGCCGATTGGTTCACCGTTCACTTTGCTTTACAGTCGACTCTTTGCAAACGACAAGGAGAGCGCGAAGGGCGCAGCCAGGTCGCTGGGATGCAATCCTCACACGTTCCTGTGGTATGCCTCTTACCCTCAAATTTTCCACAGAAGTGGCGTCTCCCATAACCTCTGCTGGCCATCCCCGCGCACCCCCACCTGATCTGCGGAATGCGATTTTGCCATTCTAAGACGTCCTCATCCATACTGTAGCACCTCGGTACATTGTACTTGCTCATCAGATGCATGCCTTGTTATCGTTACGTCTCGGGCGCCCGCTGGCGTCCGGCAGGGCCGTAACAACACCTGATCAGACACAGATGTCCAGAAGCCGTGAGCGCGGTGGTGGCTGAGAGCAAGACTTCGGTCACGATTAGTGATCTTAAGGCCATGAATTATTTCCAGATCTAGTGGCGTCGGCTTTTTTGGTTGGGTCGCGGTGTCTGTCGGAAACCGAGTCAGCTGACTCTTACATGTTGCGCAGGATTAGCGAGAGGCACAAGTATTTGGGTGGGATAGACACAAATCTCGCGTGACAGACGAGGACCGGGAAGAGGGGGGGGGGGGGGGGGGGGGGGAGGGGGTGGCGTTCAAGACCCCACCAGTTGCCCTGACACATCAGTGTTCCCCACTCCATATAGCAATGTGAGGCCTTTATAACGTCGCTTATCTGAGTACATCTAGAAGGTCGATAGCTGTCACAATAAGCACTCTGAAATTTGGAGGTTCTGGAAAAATTCTGAAGATCCCTGTTCCGCATCTTTGTATCAAGATCCCTTCCCGTATCACTCTCCCACAGCGACCTGCTCTTCTGCAAGATCGTGCGGTCCTGATATACAGCTCGCACGGCCTGGACACTCAACTCTTCTGCTGCAGTAAGAGTGTGATGATGCAAACACGGCGGTCCGCCATGATACGAGATGGGGGGTGGGGGGGGGGGGGGGGTGGTCGGCTAGGGCAGAAGGGTCTCTGAACTGGCGGCGCATCGCCACCTGTGTGGGAGGTAGCGGATCGCAGGGCGCGGGAAGTGGGGAATCGGTGGAATGGGGATCGGAGATTGCGGGAGGATGGGAATCTGGGAAAAGTAGAGAACCTGAGGTTGCGCAGGGCGGGAGATCGGAGGGTGCGGGAGATGGGAGATCGGAAGGTGGGGGAGATGGGGGATTGAAAGGCGGGGAGATGGAAGATCGGAGGGTGCGAGAGATATTGGATTGGAGGGTGCGAGAGGTGGGAGATCGGGAGGATGCATGAGATGGGGGGTCGGAGGGTGCAGGAGGTGAGAGATCGGAATGTGCGAGAGGAAAGGGAACGGAAGGTGCGCGATACAGGGAATCGGAGGATGCAGAAGGGCTGAAGGGCGTGGGAGGAAGACGGAGCATCGGCGGACCTGCACTGCTCGTTCTGAGCTCTGGGCATGAGCGGAGGTGAAGGCCACAAACGGACGTCAGCCCAGCGTGTCCGTCAGCGACCAGCTGGCTGGGCGCGCTGTGCAGAGCATCGCTGATGAGCCCTCTAGGGCCTCCAGGGCCAGGGTGCGCTGTGAGTCGCCAGAATATTTCGGCGGGACATTTTCAGAGGAAGTCTGGCCGTTTTGAGACAGGTTATGAAATTCCACCACTAACACATGAAGTATCTTAAGATGGATGTGCTGGGAACGATGTACTGGGGTGGCATCATTTTTCATGGTTAGTCCGGCATATCCATATAACCACAGTTATATCTTTTGCTCCACGCCCTTACACCCTGCACCCCCGTCCCTGCCATATCCTTGTTTGTGTGTTGGTTTTTTTGCATCATATTCACTGATCGCGACTGGCACATTTATGGCCTCTGTTACGTGTGGGTGTGCCGCCCGGTATAATATAATATAACACATGTCATATGCTGCCCCGTACTTCGTAACGAGCACCGTTCCGCCCAGAACAACAGCCTCATAAACGGGGGCATAAGCACCGCATGCTCGCTGAGAAACTCGCCGTGGGTGAAATAATAATACCAGCCACAAAATAATCGAGCAATCAGACACATCGCCACGCAACTCTGCGATGTATCCAGAATGTGGAAAGACATTCCACTCTCAGAATGTCTACCAGCATTCTATCTGAGGAGTACTGAGAACTTTTTTGGCCCCCTGGCATATCCTGCTTCGTCTCAAGAATAACCTTTGTATTTTTCCAGGTGCGCCAACAACCATCAGAGTCAACATGGTCATCAAGTCTCTGGGCCCGATATCGGAAAAGGACGAGGTATGTTTGCATGCTGTCAACATGGCTCATAAGTGCGCTAAATCGGTGGCATGCCATTGTTCCAAAAGTGACTGTTGCAAAGAAACATGGTCACAACGTATCTGTTGAATAGATGTATTTTGTGGTAATGTTGCTGCATTCATAACTGACAAATATACGTACAACAACGATTGTTGGGAGCATGCAGCGTTTGAAGAATATTAAAAACATCAACGGTTTACGGTATGAAAGCCCAGGGAATGAAATATCTTGCTCACTTATAGACCGGTTCATGTTTCGCAGGAATTTATCCTCGATTGCTATTTTCGCCAAATCTGGTTTGACAAGAGGCTACAGTTCAACAGCACAGACGTGGATATCCTATCCATGAACTGGTTGTTCCTGGAAAAGGTAAGCATGAACTCGTTGACCTCGCCTTGTCTTGATCAGCTAATTCCCTTGCCTAACCTTACCTAACTTTGCCTTGATCAGCTGCTGTAGTTCACGTGATGAGATCAAATGCACAAGCTCTGTGCTAGAGGCGTTCTCCATCACCTCACATTAAAGGGGGTGGGAATCAAAAACTTTTATTTTTGTTTTTGCTTTCTGGCGGATGAAAAAATGTAGAATCTGCATAGCTCCTTCCGACGCTGGTTGATAACGTGGAGGTTAACACAAATTTGGGTATGGCAAAATGGCAAACCGCTACCGCCTGTACGTCAGTCGGCTTGTTATAATAATTTACTAAGATGCCTATGCATGCTATATAACCTATGCTATATAATATATGTTACAATATATGCTATAACCGCGCTATATAACCACATATCAAACGGTCATCTGAAAACTCATCTAGTAGTCATACTGTATTGCAATACCACAGCGAACTAAAATCCGACCCCAACTCAGGGGGCACATGGACTTGATTATTACGACTTTAGTCCCGAACGACCCAGAATAGTTTTAAGTTGGTTGTGATTCTGAGTTGGAGAGACGTGACCCAGGAGTCCAGAAGCCTTCTGCACGGCTCTGATGGCACCGTCATCTACTCGCGTTGAATGTAGTAAGTTTTTAGCGGTGTGCCAGATGCCAATACGATATTGTCTAAAACGATTGGGTGCACATTGAGCCTAAGCTCGGACCACTAGGCCACTGAGCGCACGCCAGTGGACCGTGTATGCCCAGTCAGCTCCATCAGCTCGGTCTAGAAATTACCAGGTGATATTAACAGCTATCACCATGGCAACAGTCAACTCAACAGCCGTCCCCACTCGCTGGCGCGGGCGCTCCAGAAGCCAGATATGGGCTGAGGCGCGGTAATGAGGTGGCGCGCACCGCATCGCTTGGGTTATTAATGAGAGCAAATAGGCAGATGACATACCAAACAGGCCAATATTGGTTATTTGCTCGATGTCAATTGCACGTTTATCGAGGAAAGAGAGTCGTCATTGACGAGTCTGCTACGCGGAGGTGTGCGCTGTTCTAATTGTGTTTTTTTTCTCAAAGACAGTCCGTTCTGTTATTAAACATATTCTTACATTGCTAATCTGCTTTTGAGCCTTGTAGTGCAACGATTGATGTCCATCCCAAATTCACATATCCGAAGCATTTTTAGATGAATTTTGGCGGAGACCTTTAAAGTGTTACACGACTTCCATTTTTGGGACTTTTCGTTAAAACAAGGTAATTATATTTTGTTGTGTGACTTCTTTAAATGTAACGTGATTCTTTACACACGTTCCACCGGATGGGCTTGCTGCAGTGACTTTTTCATGTGTCTGTCAAATAACAACATTATTTGTGACAGGTGTGGAAACCGGACACATTTTTCCTCAACGGGAAGAAATCATATCTCCATAAAATCACGGTGCCCAACAAGTTTCTGCGCATTAGGAAGAGTGGAGAGCTCACGTACTCCATGAGGTAAGCCACAACATTTTGGCGCGGGGTTATGTGATTTCGTTGTTAGCACATGGCGTGGCAAGACAGCACACAGCTCGATATTAACTCTCGTGCTGATAGGGGGACGGGAGGGTCGATACCGCCCCACCCTTCGCTTTTCGTAACACCTCCCTTTCGAATTCTCACTATCATCTGGTGCAATCATTGCCGTGCTGGGACACGAAAAATGTGTATCTAAACTTTCTGGTTTCTTAGAAATTGTTTTAGCTTCTTTAGGAACACTGCACGGTAATCTACAGCCGGTGCGGTCGGCGGACGGCAGCCAACGAATCCTCCGATCGCACGCGGCGGAGACGTCACTGTTGCATAAATGGGGCATCATGCAGACATACATCATAGAGATGTGTTCAAAACACACAAAAGGACTGTCACAAGTAGCACTTCTATGTAAATTTCCATGGTGCTATGTGGCATGGTTTTGCAAATCGCGTCATGTGCAACTGAAATATTACAATTTTGGGAAAATTTCGCCTTTGACATGATCTCGTGTGATTAACTATTGACCTAGCAGTGCAAGCATGAAACATAAAATGTACATGTAGCATATTGCAAGCCTAGCGGCATAATATTAATTTCCATTCATGAAATATTGTTTGGGGCAAGATCGCTGTCTTTTTCCGTGAGGATTTGTCATGCTTAATTTGGGCATGGCAGGGGCCCTCACCCGCTGTTCGTTTGCGTTATGTAAATCAGAGCGAGTTTTAAATGGAATAGTTAGCCAACCACAAAATACGGCGTCATTTTTTTGCTCTTTTTCTGGCCTTAAGAACCCATGGATCCATGTGGCCGCAAAAGGCTTCATTAATATTGCTAGCTCTTCCGACCCAGAAAAGGCATTGAGTTACTACCTCGATATGGTCGATGACGTCACAGTTCAAGCGAGGTAGACGGAATTGTAGGCTTGGTATGTATGCCCAGAGATGAAAGTTGGGTACGCCACACCAGGTAAACGCGTTTGGAAAACTGGTCTGAGCTCAGAAAAGTCACGTCCTAGGAGAAAGGTCACAACAATCCATTGGAGGAAGGTCAAAGTAATCCATTGGGGGAAGGTCACACCAATCCATTGGAGAAAGGTCAAAACGATCCATTGAAAAATGTGCCGGGTTACGCATGCCTGATTGCTAAACTTTGCCTGAATGTGGAACATAAATAGCTTTGTTAAACTTTGCCTGAATGTGGAACATATATAGCTTAAAACTCCATGGCCACGTTTTTGGTATCATCTAAGGTCAAGGCAATCCTAGATATCAATCAAAGAAAACCTGCACACCCAAAAATACGTACACACTGGTGTAAGAGACTCAGAGCAGAGGTCAAAGAAGCGTCTACTTGCCCACGAGCGCAGGAGAGCCATGTCGGCGTCTATCCATCACGAAAAGTGATTGAAACGCTATCATTTTTTAAAGATCTATTTAGCATTTTTCACACCATGTTAAAAGCATCGACTCTGCGAGCGCTGCAGTCTGAAAGAGAAAAATATGTGTTGGTGGTCTAGACCTTTTTCAGCACCACCATGTTAGGAAACAGTTCAGACAGCGTTTTTCCCCACTAGCTCCCGACGACTTTAGGCTATTTGATATGACAACAGCCATTCATAGAGCTTGCTGTTTATGTTAAAACCATAACCTCGTGTTCCCAATTTGATCTGCTCATATAATTTTTTTTCAGGGAAACGACTTCCCACTTTCAATTAATAATAGTTTTTTAAAGAGCATCTTAGGTGTAAGATATGTAAACGCCTCAATTGTTCATGAAGTCCGAAGGCGAAATAGATATTTGGTAACTGTTTTTAGAAAACAGTCACTTCAAATAAAAAGGAGCTTGCAAACTTGCTACAAAGTTTTTACGCTTTTATGCTTCCTAGAATAATATCGGTAAAGCTGTTTACTGTTGGATTTTTCTTTCATTCATAAGACAAGCTTCCCAAATTGTCGGTCTCTACAGTCATTTGTAAATACTATTGTGCTTCGTGTGCAGCATCTTACGTGGGTTTAACCCTTCGTAGCTTGCACTGCAGAGTGCAGTAACATTTGAGAAGGTCTGGCCGCATAGGTAACACTCTTTCTAGTCAAGACCCTTCGCCAATCCGAGACCATTCATCTATGTGGCACTCACTTTTGCATCGAAAACTTGTCCGCGTAAGGGCGTTGCAATAATTCTCTCGATCTTACAACTTGTCCGCGTAAGGGCGTTGCAATAATTCTCTCGATCTTACAACTTGTCCGCGTAAGGGCGTTGCAATAATTCTCTCGATCTTACAACTTGTCCGCGTAAGGGCGTGGCAATAATTTCCGTAGGGCAATTCGATCTTACAACTTGTCCGCGTAAGGGCGTTGGCAATAATTCTCTCGATCTTACAACTTGTCCCGCGTAAGGGCGTTGGTAATAATTATCTCGATCTTACAACTTGTCCGCGTAAGGGCGTGCAATAATTCTCTCGATCATACAACTTGTCCGCGTAAGGGCGTGGCAATAATTCTCTCGATCTTACAACTTTAGAATACCTTCATATTTACCAAAAAAGCCGCCCCTGAATATCATTGGGCTGCAGATTCTTTGCAAACTATCAGGTAGCCTTTTCTTACGGATCCAAAAAACTGCAGTATGATTTCCGTATGTTTCGAGCTGTCCCGTTTACGTGCAGAACGGTCATGATGAATGGTGTCAGCTGCGACCGTTGCCATGCCTAACGATGGTGGTTAAATGCATGCAAATTTCATTGTAACTTCGTGCCATTGTACTCTTGTCCTGATGATGATACGCACTGTATCTAGACGTTGACGAATGACATTGAAACACACACACACACACACACACACACACATATATATATATATATATATATATATATATATCTCTTCTCCTCTCCTCTCTCTCTCTCTTTCTCTCTACTCTATCTCTCTCTCTCTCTCTCTCTCTCTCTCTCTCTCTCTCTTCTCCTCTCTCTCTCTCTCTCTCTCTCTCTCTCTCTCTCTCTTCTCTCTCTTCTCGCTCTCTCTCTCTCTCTCTCCTTCTCTCTCTCTCTCTCTCTCTCTCTCTCTATCTATCTGTCTATCTATCTATCTATCTATCTATCTATCTATCTACAATCGCATCGTTTTCATTGAGATTCCAACGGAAGTGCTTGCATAAGTCTCCACCATGCTGTATTAAATACCTTAGAACAAGCAAAACAATATTTCGTTGGCCTGCTGCTATTTTTAAGGCGTTTACTCTTATCGAATGATAGAAGCGGGTCCTCTTATTGAGATAAATTGTTAGAATTCCATGAATTCCCTGCATCTTGGAAAATTTCAGGGCGTTCCGAATCTAGGGTTATTTGGATACGATGTTTGATAAGCGAGGGCGACAACAGGTTTTTCATAGCTACGTATGGGTGTGTACAAACATGCGAAGCGACATCACCAAATGCGTGCAGACTCGTCGGTACCATTCACGAAAATAACAAGACTTAAGCACGAAGCTGCATGACTATCAATTGCAGCCCAACTCTCTCCACGGGCTGTGTTCAGTCAAGCTGCTCCAAACATACATGAAAGTGTCTGTGATCGTTAATTTACGAATGCAACAATATCACGGTGCATTTAGCATTGGCAAACCATGTCGACACGAGTTCCGACGGCTGATTGGACACGTACGGCTCAAAACAGCCTGTCTAATGGAGGTCCTGTGTTTCAGGCTAACTATCAAGGGATCGTGCCCAATGCACCTAAAGAAGTTCCCTTTGGATAGCCAACTATGTCCTCTTGAGATTGGATCGTGTGAGTAAATGATTATCCTTCCCTGGCTCTCATTGCTTTTACGGTCACTGTTGAGTAGACTGCGCCGCTGGCAGCTGTGCTAAGCGGCACAGCATATTACCGATGCAGCATTCGACTAATGATTTCGGAGCCGTCTTCTCGCTTTTGCATGCTGCGTGATTGGCGCTGACTCTCCCATTGCAAACATGTTGTCATGGCACACAAATTGCGAAGGAATTGGCTCCGATCGGTCCCTAAAGAGGTGTCGCACTGAGACAGGCTGTGATTGGTTTAATATCACAAAAGCGCCCGTGGTCTGCCAGCGCCGAGTCAGTTCGACATTTAACTCGACAGAAGCGGTGTTCTGGGGTCTCTGGCCTGCGGCTTTGCAGCCGCTTCATATCGGGTCCTGACACTTGGCGCTGTTCGTGGCTGAACATTCTCACAGATGCCTCTACAAATGCAAGACCGCCAGTGCAAAATTTACACCTCTGGAGCGTGATGCACACGGATGCACGGGCACGAGAAGCATGCCTTCACACGGACATTACGTGTTGTGCCCAACGGAGGTGAAAGGCCTTGTAGCGATGGGGGCAGAGTTGCAGAACAACATCTTTCTATCTCATATATAGATCGGAATCGGATGTATCCATTACTGGGCCGGAGGTACTGTGTCCCCGCGCTTACCACGCACCGCCACGCTGTCTGCACACCGTTGAGCTTGATTTGGTTGGGATTAAAGCCCTTTGGTCCAGCGATGATCATTTTAGGACCATGAGATGAAGCAGGACTGAAAGGTGGGGCAAGGCTGCGACCATCTGGTGATCTGCAGGAACCATGAACCAGAGTCCTCCAGGGTCCTCATGGAACCTCCAGGCTTACCTGGCACGGAGACCCTTCGTTGGGGCATATGCGGAGCTTGAGAGGAACTCCAGCCAGGGCGGCGCCGCAGCTGGCTCACGGCTGGCAGCTACAGCCTGTCACGAGACACGGGACGCTGTGAGGGCTCAGAACAAAGCGGCGATGATGCAGGACGGTAGCGTAGACCCTGCGCGCAGTCAGCCGACCGCGGGCAATATGCCACTGAGTTAAAACGACTGCACTCCAGATAGGCAAGCCTGCAATATGGAGGCCGCTGTGGTGCTTATAACTCCCGAAGCATTACAACTCTCTCGGATTTCTGTTGAACCGGACCCCGGGAACCGTGACAGCGGGCGGGCGGCGGCCAGTCACCGAAATATGGCGCGGAACGGTCGGCCGTCAACAAAGATCCCCGGCGCTACGGACGTTCCGTACCAGCTTCTTGTCGCCAAAAAGGTTGGCCGGCGCTCCAGTCGTCGATTTAAAATGAACTCTACAGCAGAGTGGAGGCGGCGGTGGTGTGCCGGCCGGCAAGCTACCTTTCAGCTTTTGTGGCCGCCAGTTATTGTGCTAGTGTCTTGTATTTTAGCAAGGAATGGTAAGGGAATTGCATAGCTGTGTCTGGTCTGCGCCACAGGTGTGAGCCATACGAATGATGAAAACTACGATGTTCTTGAAATTTGTTTATGCGTAGCAATGTCCTGATTTTCACGAGCTTCCTTGCAAAGCAGATTTTACGTGCGTCACCCACAGGAGTGATGCATTTTATCAGCATCTCTGTGACCAGAAAAAAGCGTCGTCCTTCTCGCGAGGCAGAACTTAATTTCAGCTGACATCATTCTTCCGCAGCAAGCGATATTGAACGCCCGGCTGTATCTATGACGTAAGCGAGATAAGCAATGCTGAAACCATGCGGAAAGAGGAACAATCCACCTCAGGGGATTATGGCCATGCACTACATCCAAAGCGAGGTGTAGGTGTATGTTTGAGGCCACTCTTGACACAGGTCAGGTTCAACTAGTATGGGCGCAGTCTCAAGCACCGCTGCTAGTGCATAGTAATTTGGCTCACGACGATAGAACTATACATAAATATTGTGCGGCAATAGTACTCGACACACACATTGTGATAAAAAAAAATGGTCAGAGCGAATGCAGTATGGACAGAAACATCATCACAGCCTGGTTTGTGTGACACGAAGCCAAACTAATAAGTTTTAGTTCCTAAATATTACGTGGCAAAAGAAACATTGCTTTCAGCACAGCTCTCACAACTCTTAGCTTGAGGGCTGGCGATGCGGAAGGAGGCAATCCATGTCACCGTTTAGCCTTTGCCTGGTTATGCGCGACCTTAAAGTCTTTTTCTAGCTGACCTAGCGGAAGTGGAAGACGGCGAGACGTGACCTGGATGAAGCAAAGGCGTCAAGAGGGAGGATCAGGAGTACGTCCCGTTGGAGAGAAGGGTGAATGGTGAGTCAGAGATCCGTACGTAAGGAGGGGTGGATAGTTGAAGGCTGTGAAAAGGGGAGACGGAGGCTCGCCAAGAGAGTGGCGGAGTGACAGTGCAATGAAGTGGCACTGTAGCGAAGTGACAGTGAAACAGTGACAGTGTGACGGAGTGACGGTGTGGCGGAGTGGCATATTGGTGGAGTCGCATAGTGATAGAGTGACACAGAAACGGAGTGACTGCTTAAAACAATAGTTGAGGAGTGGTTTGTAGAACATTCTCAAGTGTATAGACGGAGGTACAAAGGCCCCAACATCTGGAGCAGCAAATAAACCAAGAAATGAGGGCATGATGGCGATTTCGGAATCCTAGGGACGGTTTTGGGGCGAAACAACGTAAATAGAATGAAACCCGTAAACAGGGATCTGACAAACGAAGAGAAGGCATCATGTCGTGACGGGATATGCAAGCCAATATGGCGACGGTGAAACGGGCGGACAAACAGACAACGAGCGAGGGAGATTTGCGGACAGAGAACTGTTTCAGAAAAAGCGCTGACCGAGCGGCAGTGCCTGCCATTTCGAGAAATGTTTAAATGCATACCGCGCAAGGCGGCTAAGACTACACAAGCTGCCAAGACCGGGAAACTGAGGGGAAGAACGTGAGAATATGTGGAAGGATAGACGCACCCTGGCCTGCCCTGAGTGTTAAATGTCACGCGTTAGGGCTGAGCAAGCAAAATAAATGGGTGCCAGCACCACAAATTGGGCATGGAGAACCATATGCTGCACCTCGTGATAAATGACGGATCGATTCAATATCCATGCCACGTGGGTCACACCAGACGGACCGTGAAGCCCGCGGGCTAACTACCCGAGAAAAGTCAGCCGATAGGCCGGCGCTCCACGCTCGTTTCATTTTCATTTCTATATATTATCTCTGTTACGGCCCTACCGGGAATACGGCCGGCACTGGTGAAGGTGAAGCCACTTGCTATTCAATTTCACCCTAGCTTTTCACGAGCTCAAATGCAGCGGTTCAGAATTCCCTGGTCCTCACTAAAACGAAGTCAGCAGACGAGAAGTGACACAAGCGGAAACAATGGGGGAAAGACGCGTTGAATTAAATCTACGTTCGTCAGATCGAGTGTTAAGTTTTAAAATATGCTGAAGTCGGCCTAAAGAGGCCACCAGGGCTGACTACAAGTGGCTCCATGACGAGGCCGTGTGTTAAGGCCAGGAGGGCCGTGACGTGAACAGCAGGAGGGCGGGCAGCTCTATCCCCCGACTGCGTGACATGCTCACACGGGTATTCGTCACAGGCGCATCAGGCATCAACCTAGTCCGGCTTGGACTAAGCCAGAGTCCGTTCCTTCATAGAACTGGTGGGGCCAGTTCAGCTTGACTCGTCACCTGAAATAAAACTTAAAGTGACTTTAAAAATAACCATGCACTATATTTCGTGGGGGGTCCGCTGCACATTGATAATATTTGTAATGTTAATGCAATGAGACATGAATCATTCCGTTTTGCTTGCCGGCTTCATCGTATTACGAAGCATGGTCGTTGTTGTGTAAAACACAATCGAAAAGCTTAAGGAAAAATAAGGTCTTGCTTCGTAATGCATACATAATGCGTACTCATTATAGGTGTTAAATGCACACGAATACACCAAACATGGCTGTTGGAAAAATGAAATTAGTTGCATTTTCCAAGAGGGCGAACGGACCAACGGTGCCCCTTACCTCTCCCCTCCAGAGGCCAAGCAGACCCCTCTGTTGACCAAGCTGGCTCTCTGGGACTGAAGGCTGCAGTGGGTCCCCAAAGCACGGTATCAGAAGGCTCCTCTGTTTAGGAGAGAGTAAGGCACCTGAAGGCATCTTGCTCGCCCCGAAGAAGTATTTAGAGCGAAATCAGAATATGTAAAGAATTGGCGTACTCTCAATATTGAATGTGGCTGAATACGCGCTTTCAGGGGAGACCTGCGCAGTGGTTTGCATGAGCGTTCATACCCTCTGCTGGCCTGTAGGTTGCCCGCTGCTTGTCTCGCAATGAAAGGAAACGAACGACTACTCACTCAAACATTCCAACTCACCATCCGCGCTACCCTAAACTCGTCCATCTTACCTGGGTCGTCCACTGGGATGAACGAGCCCAGCAGCGTTGTCAGTACGGCATACTGGGGCACGCCGTTTCAGATGGATACACGACGAGGGACGTCATCTACCGCTGGGACCACGGCGTGTCGGTGTCCATCAAAGGTGACGTCAGCCTGGCTCAATATCACATCAGAAACATCACGCCGTTCGAGAGCATCGCGCCTACGATGCGAGGCGGTGAGTGCGAGGCGGTGAGCCTGGTGAGCCTGGCGTACTGAGGTGCACTTGCGCGATCGTTGAAGGCATTGGCGTTCTGCCGCGACGGTAATGTGCTGAGGTAAACATGGTTCGAATCCTCAGCATTTATGCAGGGTAAATCATTAATGCTTTATCGGTAGCGAACTTGTTGTGTCATACAACAGCAGGTGTAAGTCTCGCAATAACCCGGGGGGAAAGGAGGGAGAGGAGAGGTGGACACCCCCACTTTTCGTGACATTTTTTGGTTGAACATCGCCAGAGCGCTTTAATTCTGATTAACAAAGGTGCCGCCCAACCACTACACTTCGTGACAGACAACACACCTTTTTATTTCCTTGCTAACGTCAGAAGTCTCTCCTCTATCATACCGATAGCATGTTGCAAATGACCGAGGTCCCAGCAAATATGAAAAAAATCGGGCCTTAAGGCACTCAGGAGACAATTTCCAGCCAGTAGGAGACCTAGATGGCCGACCTCAGGCCCTAATGGTCGGCAGGAGACCACAGATGGTCGAAAGGAGTCTCCATCAGATGGATAAGAGGAAGCATGAAAAGAACAAGAAACCCTGCCTGTTTAAGAGGAGGCCTTGATTACCCTAATTACCGATCACTGGGGCAGTCGGATGTCTTATTTAATGGCATACGTATGCCTAAGTGAGAGGCTCTTTTGAGAGCAAGGTGGATAAAATAAAAACAAATTTTTACATAGGGGATGGGACGCAAGCCCTCTAAATTTGTCAGTTCCTTTGGAAAAAAATTGATGGAACCGCCCCAGCTGCTGGGTGTTTGATTGCATCACGCCGTATTCATTTCAGAGGTCTTGTAATTTGTCCAGGTCGTGCCAGCCAAAGAACTACAAACTATACATCAACGGCACGGGCGCGCCGTCCTGTCTATTGTAAACAAATTTTTGTGGCAAAAGTAATTGTTTTTTTGTAATACGTTTATCCCAGATCCAAACAACAAAATTGTCGCAAATACATCGACGTCTTCTTTTAAATTAGGCGCGAACATGACCAAATATTCGCCAGCCATTTGGCAAGCGCACGATCAATGGACTGGCTCTCGAATTATTCATCAGCGAATTTTGTCTGTTTGATTATCATGAAGTGTAGACCTTCCAACGCCTTGATAAATACTGTTGAAGTGTAACGACTGACGGCTGTCACATCTGTTATCGTTCACTCGCACCGCGCCGCACAAGGCGTCTTACTGGAACAAGAGTATCCTCCAATCTAAAGCAGCCTCACGTCGTCCAATCACACCCCGACGCGTGCGCCAGGCGTGTGCGTATGAACCATGTGGAGCCGTCTGGAAGGATGCCTCACCGCTACAGCCAACACCATCTGCCCCCAGAGGAGAAGTCCACGCTGGTGGTGCACTTCCACCTGAAGCGGCTCACCGGCTACTTCTTGCTGCAAGTGTACATCCCCTGTGTGCTGATCGTCAGCTGTTCCTGGGTCAGCTTCTGGATCACCAAGCGCGACGTCCCCGGAAGGGTCAGCCTTGGTGAGGACACGGCAGATAGGTGCCGTGAGGACACGGCAGTGTCAGTCTCGGTGAGGACACGGCAGGGTTATCCTCAGTGAAGACGCGGCAAGGCCAGCTTCGGTGGGGACACGACAGGGCCAGTCTTTATGAGGGCACGGCAGGGTCAGCTTCTATGGGGACACGGTAGTTCTCTCAGTAGGGCTCTTAGAAGGGCTCTCACTTGCGCGGGCCAGACTGCCTGATCAGGCGTGGGAAGAAGGCGCGGACAGCTCCGACAAAGCCTGGGTGGTCCAAGCGACTGCTGGGCTGGTCTGATGCATTCACCCTCCACCCTCAGCACTGCCATACGCGGTCATGCCATCTCTGACATTTCTCCTCCACCCACACCCACAGACGGTCAAACTCTGGCACCCTCTTCACCCGTCTCCCACGCCCGACCTTTGATTGTTCATGCTGCGTTCACTGATGGCACTGGCGAGTCTGCCGGATACTCGTACCGATCCTGCGAGGCTCGCCTCCAGGCGCATCCATCATGTCGGCCCGGGAGCTAGCGTCCCGCGCTCTTAATGGCACAGGCGCTAGCTACTCCCGTCCGGGCCGCGCAGAAGAGAGCGTGTCACCGCCTGTATGCCGTGCCTGCTCTTTCCCCTTCCCTCGACCCATCTAGCGGCGTGGTTGTTTTGCCGGCTGGCTGGGAGCCGACTATATATGGACAGAGGGTAACTGTGTGGGTGGTGGCCCTTTGCGCCTTCGTTTGGTTACTATCTTAAACCGATTGGTACTGTCGAAGGCTGAACGAAAAGGCCACGACAAATTAGATAGTTATTGTTTTTGTTGTCGATTGAAGATTGATATAAGATTGATGGATTGGTTGAAATTGAAGTAATGATTTATTGGTATTAGTTTATGAAAAAAATGAAATTTGCTAAGTAATAATACGAAAGCTGTCAGGTGATGTATGCAAGAATATGAGACTTGATCAATAATGCGAGTAGTATGGTCTGGCTGCTTCCGAAGCGAATTTTGCGGCGGATTTTTGCTTGCTGTGAAGGGAGGCCAGCTTGTTTAAGAAGTACAAACATGCCGTAAGATGACTGGAAAATTTAAGTGCGATAGCATCAAGTGTTATCAAACTACCTCGTTATTCTCTGTGCAAAAAAAAGTAAATTGCACGCTTTGACGTTTTTGCCGTTTCCAATATAATCATTTATTGGTTTAGAAGGATGGCGTGTAAAGACCCGCGGCTTGCAATTTGCAAACTGTACTGCTTGCCTTTGGACTTGTAGTGTCCGTGTGTCGAAAACAGTATCCATCCCAGTGTAGTCGCTAGTTTACTTGAAGTTAAGCACTTGAAGTAAGCCCTTACACATTGGGTGGAATTTGTGCGTTTGTGGTCGTTTCCGGCAGTTAAGCTCCCAAGAGCCAACAGTGGGCCTCCCTTGGGCACCCAAGAGCTCAAGGGAGGCCCAGAGTTAGAAAACATTTTGCTCGGTTGGAGGCGTGAATCAGAGACTTCGTGTTAAAATTCCAGGCATTCTAATAAACTTCATTTGCCGGAATGTCAATTCGTTGCTGAACGTTAAGAAAGCCAGTGCGCTGTTATTCAAACATGCCGTTTCAGAAATAGTACCGAGGCATGCCCACAAATGCCGTGTCCCACTGACAAACAGGGAACTATTTTCTCTTGCGTATATTGCTGAAGTCTTTGTGCAAGATATGATACACAAGACCTAACAAGACTTTGAAGACTTAACACGCAACACGGCATTGACATAAATAGGCCCCAGCACCTGCGATGTACATATGGCTGGCTGGATGTAATTAGATTCGTGTCAACTTCGCAGTGCATCGATCTTTGCTCGGAAGCGGGACACCATGTTGTGCATAACACAGTGCAATGCCGCGGCCAGCCGCTTGGTCAGCCGATGCGGCTGCCTAGCCCCGGAGGCCACAGGCGGTCGCGCGCGCTCGGCGGCAAGCCTGCTTCACCCGGCCGCTTATAATCGTATCGTGCGAAATGAAGGGCCAGACCACGTGGGACGCCCTCCTCATTACTGCAAATCGGCGCGGCTTTATTCGATTACGGAATCTATCAGTGGCGGTGAAATGGCCATCGTCCTGGACGTCCGGCGTTCCTAACGACGAACGTGTCACGGCTTTGGTTCCAAGCGTCGACCAGCGTGAGACATCCTCACCTCCATTGTGATCCGGTGTACATATGCCCGCAGGCGAATTGGGCGATTTTCCTTTCAGAACTTCACCGAGGCTGAAGTCAGCTGAATTTCCTGGTTGCTATGGGCACGAAAACTAAACCCAAACGTGGAAGCGTTTGACAAATGCGACCAAAATCGCTTCCGCGCAGGCTGGTTACAGGTTGGATCACAGGCTGGTTACAGGCTGGACACAGGCTGGTTACAGGCCGGATCACGGGCTGGTTACAGGCTGGATCACAGGCTGGTTACAGGCTGGATCACAGGCTGGTTACGTGGGCAATGCCCCAAAGGCACAGCGTCAGCCGTGATTTAAATCGAGGCCGCCAGCCACCGACTCTCCATCTCCGCCGCTCGCTGACGTCCATAATTGGCTCCGACTTCCCGCGGGGCGGGGCCACCGCATCTGGTGTTTTAAATCTGATGCGTGTTCGCATGATCCCCCTTGGGCTGCTTGTAGCTTGTAGGCGACATCTGACGACCCACCATCTGAACATGGGCTCATTATTTAAAACGGCAGCATGAATGCATTTGGATGCATCTCACTGTCCAAGATATGCACAGCGAAGGATTAGACCATGCACTGCACTGTGCTGTACTGAATTGAAGCTGTTGCACGTTACATTGTATGCGTTTGCGATATGATAATGCTCACTTTATCTGCCGTAAATCAGATGGCCCGTTATTATTCAATTTTCAACTTTAACGGTGATTTAGTCACTTCAGTCTCCAAAACTATGTTAGTCGTGGCCTTTCATTTTGTAAAGACGGCCAGCACGGCTGGGAACAGAAAATCTTTTAGGGATTTCTGGTGAGCTTGGCTGGTGGGTTGCCGTAAATCTGATGGTATCTTTTAACGTCGTTAAAATTCCCGACCTTTGGTGCCGATAAAACGAAAAGGCTGTAGCTGGGAGATTTCCATGCTATGCATAATTCCGGAGCCGTGACATTCCTGCTAACCGCCGTTGTTTGTTCATGGCTCTGCTTCCTAGCACTGTGGATGACAAGGTAATGGATACTGCTTGCCGTGTTCGTAATCTCATTTTCCTTATCGTCGATCTTACTCGAACCCAGACGTCATCACGAGATTCACCAATATGATCGAGAAGGCTCAGCCAGGCGATTCATGTATCAGCAGGGACATGAACTTTCCAGCCAGTTGATGACATAATCGCACATGCTGGGCGCTATCATTTACTGGACATGCTGGGCGCTATCATGAACTGGACATGCTGGGTGCTATCATTAATCGTTGCGGCCGCAGTTAGTATTTTCGTAAGTAAGGGGCCCAGAGCTCGGCAATTACACATCACTCTTATCTGTCGTGAGCCCTTAATGGTGAAAACGACAAATCTGTGCCTCAAGGAGGGTGCCGGACCTCTGTTGGCTGACCTCTGGACTTCTGTTGGCTGACATCCGGGCCTCTGGTAGTTACTAATATGCCGGCGATGTTATGCTCATCGCGCTTAACTTGAAGCAATATCCATTTTTGCGTTTTACTTGCCGTGCAAAGGCATTGGCATCGACCGAAATTGGAGTAAACACTGGACAGCTATTTTCTGCATTGGTACGTCGAGTATGAACATGGTAAGTTAAAGTTTATTTAGCGCCCCTTTTTAGCTGGTTTTGATCTTTCACTTGCCCTTTTTCTTGATATCGTAGTAAGTCCATTTTATATCATGCATCTGGCAGCCGCCTGCTACGGTCATAGCACTATCCGTAAAAAAAATCAAGGGACTTTAGGTAAAAGCATTGAAACCGGTTCAATGTCAGCACGAAAGCGCTCAGATTTGTCCTTTGTGCCGCAGCGCAGGGCACAAAATAGATCGCTTGTATATTCTGCTAGTTCAGTGTTTGTATTGAGCCAGCACAGAGTGCGCATCTTTGTCATGCATAAATATCGCCGAACAATCGTCGATGCGCTACAAAATCTGTCTGTTCTAATGCTGTTTTCTCCCAGTGGGCGGGGGATACGTTCCAGGCCAATTTCAAACATTTGATTGACAGGCATGCCCCAGAGTGGGAAGTCCACATCCCCGGCCCGACCGCTCCCCCTGTGTCAGATCGACCTGGTGGCACAGCGCTGTACAATTTGACCTTATTGCACGGCGCTGTGGCCTTCGACCTGATGGCACAGCGCTGTACCCTTCGACCTGATGGCACAGCGCTGTACCCCTCATCATACTGACGCGGTGCCATGGCAGCTCGATGGTCCGAAGCTGGCAGCCATGCCATGTGGCAGCCGCGAAGATATCTGATGATGCCTCGAGGCCCGGAACTTGCATGGCGTTGTCTGTGGCATCGTCGTTGGCAAGCAGCATCGGCAACAGAGCTTCCAGATGAGCTAGTTCACCAAGCCACCAATTCTTATATTGGATCGTGAAGAAAACCTCTGATCAGGACTTGCAGCCATGCCGATCGGCACACGAGACCACCGCGTAGCACTAACACGCGCTCTGGTGGAGGTTAAATGGGCCTCACAATGAATAGTTTTCAGCATCCATTTCAAACGCCGCGGCATACCCATGGCAAACTATACATAGCTGCTAGCAGCCGAAAAGCCGATTTTTAACATACAGTTTGCGTACATCTTGCAAAGCCACTGACTCATTTCACGGCAAATTCAGGCCATGGCTGTATGCGAAGGCTTTTCCTAGGGAATCGCTCAATCTAATGAAACGACGGAGTGTTGGACAACGCCATCCGCGTTTGAGATATTTTCTTAGACAAGACGTCAATTAGATTTGGTAGTACAACTAACTGCATTGGCTTTGGGTCAGGCATGAGGCTAGACCAAAGCTAAAACCAATCAGCGTTTTTTACTGGAAAACTTGCTTTATGAGGTAAATTTTGACGCTCAATTGCGGCCTCTTGATCCGAGGGACGTCAACATACATCATATTTGTATTGCATCAAGGTCAGTTGAAGCTGCCGGCCTAAGATAACCCATTGATCCTTGTGATGTTAGGAACATATGGCCCAGGGTAATCCGTGACCGTGAAGGTGAAATTAACAAGGAAACAAGAATAAAACATCACCATGACCTCCTGAAAGTGCAATAAGGCCACGGACCTGAAATAAGCGCCCGTGACCTTTTGCTTAGAACAGGGATCTACGCTAAAGGAGAGTGCATGAGAGGATCAGAGTTGGCTTCGGATGCGGGCGAAGAGTCCGACTTTGTTTAAGCCTATTTGACCCAAAGTTCATGACGTAGTAATCCCAAGCCTTGGCATATTTGAGTCCATACAGCGACTCTGTGAATACTACTTACTCTGTGAACTTGCTGTCTCTAGCTCTCTTTGTTTTTGAGATATTGGGAGGTCAAGGTGCCCCCTCCTACATCCGAGCGACTAGCATTCGTCCGGCTGCCCGAGCGCGTGATCATATGTGTCTGCTTCACCAATCAGGAACTCGTGTATGCCTAAAACATGCGCTTAACACAGGCTGAGTATGTAATCACGTAATGGTATCCTATACACAAATTTAACGCTTCAGTGTACAAGAGAAAGTTACATCCTCTCTGCCTCACGTAACCCATGCGGTTACACCGAGCTGATGTCATGTCCCACACTTCCATTTGTGCATTTTGCGAGCACCCACGTTCACTTGAGGCACATGTAATACATGTCTGGGCGAACTTCTTTTTCTTTTATAGCCCGTTTTTCGGCGATTTTCACGACTCGGGTTCCCATGTATTTTGAGAAATTGACACACATGATCTGGGTCAGGATCGAGGGCCATTCATCAGGGTCATTAGGACCATTCCGTGACATGGCTGTGAACTGGACAATGTTTGTGACATTTCAGCCGAGGACCGGCTCTCCCGGCGTCTCGTCTCGCAGCGTCTGCCATTGAGACGAACATTTTTACAAACAACTCAAAAATTAGATGTTCACATGTGTTATTTCCGCATATCCCTTTTTACCCATGACATATGATGTAGATCCATAATCGTATGAACGTCTGCAGGCACAAACTGTTAACATCACCTGAGCGTGCCCGAACGTCGAATCATTAAAACGCTATACATCTTAGAAACTTCATGAAAACGGTTAGCAGCCTCTCTGCGATGACGGCCGGTTCTACAGCATGCTCCACTTTGCAGGCATTACAACGGTGCTGACCATGACGACGCTTGGGTTCGGCAGCAGGAGCAGTTGGCCGCGGGTCAGCTACGCCACGGCGCTCGACTGGTGGGTACCCGTGTCGCCCTGCTGATCGGTGCTGCCTACGACACGCTGCTGTTGGTACTTGGAGGCCGCGGAATGAAAACCAAACTACCGCGTGCTGAAGATGACCTGTTTAGCTACGAGAGAAATTGGAGAGGGCAATGCTTAAAAATGCTTTGACATAGTTGAGTTATCTCCCCCGTAAGTGTCAAGTTCGGGATGTCGAGACAGGCAAGCAATTATGGCTTTTCTCTATTTTAGGAAACCACCCTGTTTGCCGAACTTTTTGGGTGTTCACCACCCACGCTTGCCGAGCGCAATCACCTTTTAAGGACGGTGTACGTGTTGTGTGGACTGCTCTTGGAGTGGTTGAGTGTAAATGAGAGTAATTGAGTCACAAGCGTTTGTCCTAGTTGTCAGATTGACTTGCACTATCGGTTTTATTTTGACTTGCGATCATAGTTGTGGAAGATTGTGATCATTTAGCCACAGAGCAGAAGCCAATTACATTCATTGTTTTATGATATGCGTAATCGCTTCTTGGCAACATTGGGAGCACAGTTTACGAAAATGTGTTGTCTAATTTGGCATGTTGTGCATGGTCTCAATCAGCATCAGCTAACAGTATGCTTATTTTCTTTAAAAAAACTGTCGTTTTCAGGTGGGTCATCATGTGTTTCGCGTTCGTTTTTGCATCTATGGTGGAATTCGCCACCATCAACTTCATTGAGAAACGGCTCAAAGACAAGAAGACCAATTTGGAAGAGCTTAAAAGGCTGTACACAGAGAGGCATAAGGTACGTTAATTTGTTCTCATAGATGCGCATGACGTGGGCGGTGCCGAGGCCCTTAAATGTTCTGTTGTAGATATGTCTGTCCCTGATTGGGCCGACCGCAAGCTTTTTGGTCCATAAATTTACAGGTGGCAGCTGACCTTTGTGGGGAACGGAAAGAACAGATCCATCACAGGCTGGCAGGTTCTGTGCTGGCAGGTCGTGGCTCCCGACATGTATCGCAGCCAGTTGAAAACATGCTCGATAAAATGCATGTTAGAGCCGAAGGGCGAGACGGGCGGAAACCCTGAGACGGGGAAACAAGCTTGCTTTAAGATAAATACACTTCCAAAGTCGTGGCATCACCTTAAGAATGATTCGAGATCCGATACGGCTGGTCATCGGCCTCATATGCGGCTCACAGTCAATAGAGAATTTCCACCGACCTAATGTGCAGACCATTGGTGCCGGAAAGCAATCAGCTAAACGTAACCAAACACCGATATGTGTACCGACCATGACCACCGTCTCATAGTGGGCTGGCCGTATCCATGGGCTTTGCCAAGAAAGAGCTGATGTAAGCGAGCCGCAGTGAGCTCGACCTTGCGACTCTTCAGAGATCAATCAGTCACAGCCTCCACCTTCAGGCTGGAAGAGTAGCGCCCGTCATGGCGTGTGTGCTCCGTTCCCCCGAACGACCTTAGGCCCGCCATGTCCCGTGCCGCCATGTCAGTGGCGCGATGTGAGGTGAGACACCCGCATGGCGGGCTGGCAGAACACCGTGAGGCATATTACGGGCGACCGCGGACTCGGCGGCCGCCGAGGTGCTCTGGAGGCTCGGCCTGTCCTCTTCATCACGCCGCTATCACAGATATGGGTAAAAGATGAGGAAGGTGGCGTGATATTCCTCATCCACGGACGTGGGCGACGTGATATGGCTGGAAACACGCCGCATGAGACATCTGACATCATGAGTCATCGCCCGGGATTTCCGCAATCCACCTCTTCCGTCAGGTGAAAATTGCAAAACCTGCGAAATCCATTCCGTGAAAAGGTGTGGGAATTCCCGCCTCTTCTTCCGCCTCTCTTTCCCGCGCTCTCCCTCACTCTTGTTCTTGCTATTGGTCTCTCGCCTCCACTGCCGCTGTCGTTCATTTGTTTTGGTTCGCAAATACTCTTTCAGGGTTTTGTGTGGAACATAATGCAGGTAAATGTTCCGAACCTTTCTTTGAAATTCAGACTAGATTTGCTCCAAATCTCCTCGATGGTTGAAGTAAAGGAATTCCACTTTCAGGAGATTCAGAAGTAAATGAAGACAGTATTGGTGTGCTCTAGAATTGTCGACGGAGAATTTTGCGCATTTTTGTGTTAAGGTGCTTGCTCGCTCATTGTTGTTTGCGTTGTTAGAGCTGTGTAGAATTTGAACCTTGCTTTTTTATTACCTTTTTAGAACCTCGCTAAGTTTATTATACGACACGAAACTCTTAATAAGCATGTCTTCTTTTCTGCCCATGCCTCTAGTTCACTCCAATTCCAGGATAATACCAGGCCTGGCAATGGTGTGGATTGGTCGAGGGCGTTAGGTGCTGGTTGCGCTATTACTTCGGTGTCGTGCGGCGCAAGATGGGCTTTAATGATCTTTTAATTAAAGGATCATTCATCTTGTATCTTGTGGATGGCTAGCTCTGTAGGTAATGGATACCTATGAACAGGAACGCGGCCAGTATGCAAGAGTCTGTTTTACCGCATCTGCGTCGAACATGTCGGGGAATCGTTTAAAAAAGTTTCGAGAACATTCGGTAGAAAGAGATTTGGCATTACAGCGACCCAGAATAGACAGATCTTGTTTATACCACGCCAATCGCAGTGGGGTAATGTTTATTAATGCTCTACCTCCTGCTGTGTTTGATATGACGCATTGCTAGTGGAAACAACATTATGATGCCTCTTGTGCACTGCAATATGGGGCTCGTGCCTACCATGCGTGATCGCTATTCAACAAAAATTGAATGCTATTTTTCATGGGGATATCAAGGCAATACTTCCGATAATACTATTCTTTCCTTCCAATATAACAAGTGTACGCAGGGCTACATAGCACTTCTCAATGGGGAGCAAAGTAAAAGTTGTCGTTATCAGCTGACTTTACCGTGCTGCAAGCACGCGTCATTTCTTTCATGTGGTAAAGCAGTACCGCATGTTCTCGGTCCCCTTTTACGCGTCTTCCTGCATGTCTGAGCTGTCAATATATTGTCAGGCGCATACAATGTGGATGCCATGTATTAATTAAGGTGTGAGCACACCAGGGGAACCCTGGGTTTTTAGGCGTGCGCGCCCTTAAAGAATACGGTAATGATTTGGTCGCAAGGTCGAATTGCCTATCGTATCCTCTCCGCGAACGTTTTTGTATCTGAGCACATGTCTGCCTCTTTACTATGCTTTTCTTTGGCGCTATATTAAAAACGATTGTTCATGTCTTTGCCTATGTCCGGCAGTTGGTGCTCCGCGAAGTCTGGTGCAAACTTTAGCTTATCAGCGTTTATGTTCACGAAAAAATTCGGTCAGCAAAAGATGTGGCACTGGGATTAAACTCCATCAAATACAAAAGTCCTGTTAGGAAGCATATTGTCACCCTGCGTATACTGTTATGTGTGGAATGACTGACCTTTCAATGAAGTGCAACAGATGTTGTTCAGAACGTCTGTAGGTTCACAGTTTTTGTCTGAGGCGTACAGTAAAATTACAATTTTTCACGATAGACATAGTTCCAGCTATTCCTTCGCGTCGAGCAAAATGGGAGCTTGACACTCAGTGCACCACAGACAACTGCCGGTTGTGTTCGGCAGTGTTCTACTTTTATAGGCATATGTTGCTGATGGACACTGCGTAGTGAGTTAGCTAATGCGCCGTAATAAAACATAAAGCGGTATGAAACGGGTGTTGCTCCATTGAACAGTTTGCGAAAGCAATGGCTTAACATAAACAGAATGACTGGCAGACGAATTTTTGTGAAGACTTAGCTCTTTTCGTTTTCTTACCACAGCTTGTTTACTCAACGTAGATAATTAAATAACACTTCGCAACCGTGCTTTGTTCAATGGTCGTTTTGTGCATGGGAGGAAATGACTTTGACCGTTTGTATGGAAATGAAATGGCTTCTTCTGAAGACAAACATGGTCTCCAGCGCATTCAATCGGCTCTCAAAGGAGAGCAGGCTTTTAACGACTCTGTTTCAATGGGATGGAGCAACGCACAATCACATTTCCTACATTGCAGATTCGAGGACCTATAACGGAGGTGTTTTACGTTCCCTGCTTTGTCGCTGAATGGTCGGGTTCAAAGCACGTGCGTCATAAACGTTTGTGAATCCCCTACTCCTCTCTCCCCTCTCTCTCTCTCTCTCTCTCTCTCTCTCTCTCTCTCTCTCTCTCTCTCTCTCTCTCTCTCTCTCTCTCTCTCTCTCTCTCTCTCTCTCTCTCTCTCTCTCTCTCTCTCTCTCTTCCCTTCTCCTCTCCTTCCATTCTCTCCTTTACTGTTTCATCTTTTCCATGACTTCCTCTTTTCCTTTCTCGCTCTCTTTTCCTCTATTGCTCTCTTTTCCTCTCATGTCATGCACTAGACGTTCCCTTCACATCTGAACAGCAACACTCCCGTCGGCCAACTCCCATGGTGTCTACGTGAGGCGGCAGCCCCCGCTCCTGCGCCTGCCACCCATCCTCCACTCGTCTCGCGCCAGAGCCGTGGACTGCCGCCCTGATGATGCCGACACGCGGCCGCGGGCGGTGGCGGGTTCCCAGGGCGTGACACGATGGTGGGCGTGTCGATGTTGAGCCGCCCTGGGCGGCGGGGGAAGGGGAAGGGGTCGGTCGGGCAGCCATTGGCGATCTGCCGCGTGCGGCGGCCAATCGTGCACCCGAAGCGTGCCACTTCGCTTCCGGAGACGTACTCTGGATGCTTCGATTCGGCCTGTGAAAGCGCTGTCATGACAGCAGAGGCGACAGCGACTTCGCCGTCCAATCCAATTGTCCAACTGAAGCGCATTATTGGTTTCATTGACTGGTTTTGCGAAAGCAGAAACTCTTCTCAAGACTACGTACGCTTCGCAATCTCTGCCTTGACCAGCGGCCGGGAGACAGGATCAATGTCCATGGCCGACATTTCCAGCGCCCTTCACTGGAAACCCACCCTCAGAGGGATCTTTTCTCGAAGGTCATTGCAAAATTTGTGATGGCGCTGATAAAGTGGTCCAACTGAGGGTTGATATGAAGGCCGCATTTTCTCATACCGCTCTTTTTTTATGTCCTTAGCACAGGCGAAAGAAAACGCTCTATGTGGGAAATCAACCGTTTCTACTTTCGACTTCCCTGTTGGACAGCTTTAAATATATGTCTCCGTCAGTTTGCAATCCCTAACACGCATTGCTCACCTCAGTACAATGGAATGGATTTTATAGGCAGTGCTTTGATGCCCCTTAATTTGTTACCTGTCTCACCCAGCGGTTGCGGCGAGCTGTCGGGCATTGGTGCACTTCCGGGGTTTAACAAGGTAACCGTAATGCTCGACCCCATCTACGGCAAGTCGATGAAGTCATTACGAGTGGTTGACCCACAGATAGCTCCATAGTTATGGCGAGCACCTGTCGCCGTCGCCATTTACATTAAGTCCTGCATATACCCACCTGCTTGTGGTGGGCTTTCTGGTATCATTGAGTCCTACCCCCCCCCCCCCCCCCCACAACCATGCCCTGCGAGCACAAATCGTCGTTGGGTCGCGGAGTCATTGCTCATTGGTTTGGTGGTCTCGAGAGTCAGGTTGTCAACGTTGGGCATGCGTCTCGTGGAAAACGGACTTTGGGGGAATTCACGGGGCTCGAAGGGATGAAACGTCGAAAGATAAAGGTATTATTGTTGAGGTTTTTAACGATGTGTTTTCATATTGTGGCTTCCTGTGTTCTTGCGATGTAGGGTTTAATTGCCTTTCAGGTGTACATTGCATATCAACAGTGTTTATTTTTTTATAAGCCATTTGGACCAGTGTTTGCTACAAACCAGCCAATGTCTATCATTAATGCCTCGCTCATGTCCTTATATCTGCACTCTCCCGCGACTTTGGCCGGGGGTATGGTAGGTGAAAACATAAAACTCAACACGTCCAAATGTGTCAACGACGCCGGCAACTTTCCACGGCTTAACTCAGCTGGCGGTCAGCAGTTTTGGCCAGCTGACGTCGACGTTGCTGAGGGCAGAAACATCGTCGCACAGCTGGCCGCAACAGCTCGAACTGCGATCAACGGGCCCACGCCGCGCCAGCGGCGATAAATCAAAACGATGGGCAATATTGAGAGACAATGGAAGTGCCGAGAGGCAGCGGCCGAGTCAAAACCTATGGGGCTAGAGCGTGGGCGCGTTGGAGAGAGCGGCGAATGCGGACTGCTGTCTCCCGGCGGATTGTTTTCCGTCGAGCCGAGTCACCTCGATGGTCTGTGCGGCGCAACCCGTCGGCTGGGGCTGACTGAGTGCAGCAGTCCTCACCTCAGCTGTAGCGGTCCTCACATCAGCTGTTCACGCTCCCCGCCTCGGCAAGTCATGCTCCTCAGACTACGCGGGGTCTGAATGGGGAGCCCCGGTCCGAGTCGGGGTCGGGCTGCATTTGAGGATGGACGTGAGCCAGGAATCGACCGTTCAGACGCTGCATACGTTGGAGCTGTATCCAAAGCCGAGCTGCGTTGATAATGGGCATGAGCCCGAGTCAAGAATTCGCCCCTAGAACATCGTTAATGCTGGAGTCGTGTCCGGGCAGAGTCTAAGCATTTCCACGGCTCCATGCGTCTGACTCAGAGCCGGAGTGCTCGGGATTTTGGCCAGCATCACCATCACTAATGTCATCATGTGCTCGTATGATGTTTGCAGCGGCCTTTCATGACAATGAGTCGATACACACACACGCAAGTAATTGCACCATAAAACGGCTACATGCATGCAACAAAACACTAGCGGGCTGTGTGCGCTGAAAGTTCTGCGAGTTTTCTTTTAAACCTCCCTACCTCCCCACGAACCGGATGGTGGGGTACCGGTCGCTTAAACCTATGTGAGTACCTCGCTCCACTCAGCTGCGGCACGGGACCTGTGGACTCTTCGCGCACGCGTTGCGGATTTGAGACGTGTGCAGCAGACCGGCTAATGAGCTCCGGGCTTCCCCGGCTAACACATCCCCGCAGATCGGGAGCAGACACTGGCCTGCTGAGTGTCTGTTCGTTGCAGGAAGTTAAGTGCTGCGTACGCTGGGGCAAAGCCTCAGTTGATCTAAGTGTTCACGATGTTTGAGTTCCCGTAAGGCACGGAGTGGTCGACAGCTGTCTATTTCAGTTCGCTTAAGATAGGTGTTTCGTGTTATGGTGATGGTAGCATTTACTAATCCTGAAACTGAGGTTGACTATTTATTTACATAGTCCAAATCCGAGTTGGGACTAAGTCCGGGTTATAGCCTGAGTCATTTGAGACAGAGTCCGAGGTCAAAACCGAGTCTAAACGTGTGTCCGAAGCTTTCAACACTTGGGTTCGAATGCCATCAGCTTTGAACGGAATCACAAAGATGAGTTAGTTTTATATCAGAATAGAAAATCTCAAGGGTCAAAGATCGTTTGGATTAAAAAAGGCAGGTAAATTATATTACATAGTATATATATATATATATATATATATATATATATATATATATATATATATATATATATGAATTCGGCTAAACAGATGAACACTGAATGGTGGTGCACAATTTTGTTGTTTTGTTTTTGCACGTCTGTAATCCGTGTCAAAGGGATTTTAACTATTTCTAGTTGCTGGATTCCGGCCTTTGAACGCTGTCAAATGTGCGTAATCATGTCACTCAGCGGATGTGACAAGGTTACCATGACCCAAAGTTGCAACAAACCATGGGTAGATTTTACACCTAGGCTATCCATGCTTGCATGCTTTCATGCTTACATTTATAACGTACTCTGTGTTCAAGAGTATAATGATTTGTACAGGCTAATTAAAGGCAACTATTTTTTGCATATGCATGACATTTCATTGCACTGTCTCAGCCAACGCTACGCGCTAAACTTCAGGACAAATCTGAAAGCACAGTTGATCCACAGACCAGAGGCGCAGCCAAGGGTAAGGCCCAGGGCCACGACCGCTCCCCCCCCCCCCCCCCGCCAGCGGTGAGGGTCGGGGAGACGACTCCCCCCCCCCCTCCTTAGGTTTGGATGTGTATTGTGTTTCATCATAGATGGATGCCAACAGAACGTTAATAAATCGAGTGAATCGTATACACGAAACTTCCCCTTTTTCCTAAGAAAAAAATCCCCTTTTTCCTTTTTCCTGGTTTTGCCCCGAGCACGGGCAATCACCGTCCCTGTGAATAACCATGCCATTAACTTTTATATTGTACCAACCTTTACCTTGTGCGACATAAACTCACAAATTTTGGGCATAGTGGCCGAAGGGCAAAACTATAAACATAGAACTAAAAGTTTTGGGCAATGGTGTATTCTGCGAGATGACATGATTAAGTTACATCACAATGAGCTCGGCAGGCTGCACACTGTGCCACACTTTATCGCTGCGGATGTGCTTCTCAAGCAGCAGTGTACGAAAATGCCTCATCCGCCAAGCAGAGAACAAAGTCGGCGTCTCGACATGAAAACTAGCTCAAAAGTTTGGGATTTCCCAAGCGTACGCGAGAAAAATACCCCTGAAGGAAGGTGTGACCCGCCGGAAAAGACAACTTGCTCCAGAACTACCAGCAATTCAAGTGAAAGCACAAAGGAAACGACTAAATGAACGGGCTCGCCCCCTGTCATTAGCCGCCGACCGCCGAGAGGTGGTGTTGAACGATGATTGCTACTTTTCCTAAAAAGGAATACAGAGCAGGCTTCTACTGAAAACCTTGTAAATGTTCCTCAAATAGCTTGTTTTTTGTTCTACGAGCAAAATTCCGAGAAAGGCCAAGATTTACCGTGCGACAGGCTTACACGCATTGTTAGCACTATTCTCATGCAAAGGCGGAGGTGCCCGGGAGGCAGAAACTATTACTGCAAGGAGTGTGCGACAAAGAGGCTCATTTTCTTGGTAACTCGAGACACCGGAGGAGCGCGTCCTTTTCTAGCTACACCTGGCTACCTCTCCCTTCACACGAAAAACACAGGAGCTGATGGCAGAGAGGGGGCATACCATTTGTTCCTAATGAGCAAAACCCCCACGCTGCCCCCCCCCCCCCCCCCCCGCTTCATCCTGTTGAGGTTGTATAGACAATGGTAAAGGCCAAGGCGTAGGCAGAAGACTGGAAAGCTACGTCAGACGAAGAGAGAAGAGAAGAGAAGAGAGTGAACTGAAGTGCAGACTGCGCCAGAGCATCAAGTCCCTGATCGTGGAGTTATGGACAAAGTGTAGAAGTGCACGGCAGAAGGCCACGGCACGGGCGATACGCTGCACGCGCGGGAGCGTTTAGCTGCGTGCACTGGATGGATATGTTGGGTGCGAGTGTTCATCTGCATGATCTGCAGCTTGCACATGTGAGACGGTAATGCCTGACTGCCTATGCGCATTTGAGCTTTTTGTCAATGTGTACTGCTCACTCATCACTCACAAGCTATCACATGGTTGGAGAACTGCATGCTGAGTGTGCTTGTCAGAAGGGGTGCGTGGTGCTGACTGTTTCTGTTGGTATAATTCAGAACATCCAAGCCGTAGGGCAGTGCAAGTAGCAAAGATAAGTTCATTAAGCAGGTTAAGTCATTCGTGTGCCATCTACACGCATTTGTGTTGTGGCGAACAGGCGGGCAAACGGGCGGGTAGGGCCTTCACATTACGGCTAGAAGGTCGGCATAGTCATGCTTATACGGGTACGTGGTGGAGATGGGTAGGAAGCTTTTGCCCGCGAAAGTCTGTTTCCCACACGGCCTCGACCAACGGCAGGGAGTCGCAGCGTGGCGGCGGCGACCCCCGGCCGCGCGTGGTTATCAGGCGGGCCGGCCGGCGTAGCCGACGATCAAATCGGCCGATTGGTCCCCACGGACCCTGCCGCCGCAGCCGAAGCCGTAGCTGCCGGAGCGGCGCTCCGATTGGTCGCCACAAATGTCACCGCAATTAACATCGGGACACGTGCGGGCCGCGGTTGGCGGTGGAGGGAGGGGGAATAGACAAGAGCGAGTGCTGTGCAGGCAAAGGGGTGCAGCTCTCATACCTATGATAGCCCTCAGACTTGCTCACAAACAAAGGATGCTGCTCACTTTTTACTGCCGAGCTATGCCATTGGTGTAACTACGGCACTAACGTGCTGATTACTAACGGTGATGTTGCAGTGTCAGCGTTAGGGATTAACGCAGCAATCAAAGAATGTCTTACCCTGAAGGAAATATTTCAAATGAATAGGGCAGGCTGTTGTGTAACTTAAAAGTGGATCGGATATCAAACCTGGCGGGAGACAGCTTCCGAACATCCCGCTCCTTACCAAAAATATGAACCCAAAGGTGCAAAAGATCATGTTTGTCGGCTCTCCTGTGATTCGTCGTTGTATAAGCTCCATAGCTCATCATGTTGATGGTCTTCACGTTCGTTACTTGCCCTGACATTGTTTAACCTCTTTCGGCAGCCTAGCGTCGGGCAAATGTTTACCGAGTGTGCAATCGTACTCGCCTGACCCTGTTGACTCAAATTCTGTCAGTGCATAACTCTGGAGACCATAATCATGGACCGATCTCATAATATATCGATCATAAGTCAGCCAACCCCTTAACCGTCAGCATTGCTGCCAAGCGGCGTCCGGCAGGAGGTGGCAGCAGCATGGCCGCGTTCTCCTCTCCACAGCGGAGGTGAGGTATCAGCTCGCCCTCTCTCTCTCTACACGTGGGATGATGGGCAGGACGAGCCGCTGTGACATGTGTCTCTCTCTCTCTCTCTCCGCAGCGGATGGTGGGTATGCTGGGCCGTGGCGGCGCGCTGGAGACGGAATCGACGCCTCCGCCACCTGCTGCGCAGGACGACGAGGACATCGCGGCGGCGCAGATGGAGTTCTCCGAGTTCGCCGGCACCGCGCCACAGTCGGAGCCGGAGCCCACCACCGACTCGCTCATGCCCACCCTCTTTGGCAAGAAGAAGTCCAAGTCCAGCTTCGAGTACGTGATGACCAAGCTGGAGCGGCTGACGGAAAAGGACCTGCAGGACCGCTTCTCGGTGGTCGACATCTATGCGCGCCTCGTGTTCCCGCTGCTCTTCGGCGCGCTGAACGCCGTCTACTGGGTGCTCTACCTTTATTACATCACCGACGAGCTGGAGACGGACATGTTCCGGCTGACCAAGCCGCTCGACTCGACGGCGTTCGAGCCCAAGTCGTGAGGCGTGGTCGCTGCCGACGGCTGGGCGTCAGCGGCTCGGCGCCGGCCGGTGGCACTCGCCGAGCGCGGCCGAGGCTCTCTTTCAGGGACGAGTCATGTGTGAGGCAGGGTGGGTGTGCGATCCGGGGATTGGATCATCACGCTGTTGTCGGGTGGGTGGTCTACGGTTTTGTGGGTTCTCGGCATGCTGTAGAGCAGTGTTCTACAAGAGTGACATTGGTGTGTAGATGCGACCATGCGCTCTGGAATAGCAGCAGCTAGCAAAGATTGTCCCATGTAATGTGCAGCAGGTGCCGCGTAGCGTTCTGTAGTGACCCAAGAGTGCCCTTACCATCTCGGTTTGAACATCCGCATCGCGGACACACTTTATGTACGCCCCCACGTTTTCGAGACGTTCACCAGTGTCTGCATCTGTCTCGTGACTCTCAGAGGAATGATGTCCTGCTGAGCCCGTGCGTCAGGTCAGGTCAGGGGTCGTCTGTCTCTGTCGTGAGAGCCACGCTCAGACCACCATTGGTCAGTGCCGCCAGAGCTGGCCTTCAGCTTCGTGGGTCGGGAGGCACGCTGGTCCGAGGGTGAGAAGCGCCCAGCTCGCGGAGTGGGCGGGCAGATCAGTCTACTACCGATACGACCTCCTCCATAGTGCCCTGCAGTGGCAGACGTGTGTGATGTCCTCCTCTGCTAGTCTGTTCTAAATCGTAAGAGCGTCCGAGGCCCACCGTAGATGTCTGAGCCCTTCTTAGCCCGATACGATCCTTGAATGTTAAATACTTGTACCATCAACACTTCGAACGCCATTGTACGGATTCCCATGACCTTATCTGGGGCATCGGCCCTTGCCCATCAATAATAGGTCGTCACTTGCTGCAACGGAGGCGGCTCGTATCAGCCGTTTAATAGCTTGTGCACGCAAGTCCTTTACACTTGTGCACCGCTACTCACATTGCCACAACCGTGAGATTTTCCAGTTCTACCACGCCGTGATATGTTGACACTTTTTGTTTAAGAGCAAGGTGACGCATCCCCTCAAATGTCGATTCTCGATGGAGGCCGTCGACTCTCATGCTTATCTGGGATTTCTACAGCTGCAGCGTCCAAGCGCTACGCAGCCAAGCTAGGGGCCCGCATATGCGAGCTCCATGGTTTTGCTGCACAATCCGTGCGCCGTTTCCCTAGCCAGAGGGATTTGACGTAATCCAAACGGACTTAAAGAGCTCTAACCAAATGCGGAGCTGAATCCGAGGTCTTTTGCGCTGAGTTCGTAATACTGTGACACCCACGTTGCACGTTTGTTGTATCTTTACGAACGAAGCCATTGGCCGAGTGAGCTTCGCTTGAAATGGGGAAAACACGAGATAAAAGGTCTCGCTCTGACTGCCGTCACACGTTCCAGAAGCTAGCGTCTTTGTAGTCACTGATCATGCAGTTTTCAGCAGCAAGGTGCGTAATTTTGAGAACAAAGTGTTGCTGGCTGAATGCTATAAATTTCGGGGCAAGTTGCCTCACCCTGCATTACTTACCTGCAGTGTAGCAATATGGACAAAATGACATGCCCTTTCTGCAAGCATAGGAAAGGTGAGATTTGCTAATTGAAAGCAGGTAAGAGCGGCTGGAAGCCACGCTCAGTCAGGCATTGACGGCCTGGCGCATTAGCAGGAGACCAGAGCACACGGGTTGGAGCGAACAATATCTGGCAAACGTTTGGGTCGATGTGTGCGGAGCCGATCCCACAAACCGCCGGCGAATGTGGCCCCTACAAGTTCTCAAGCGGCTGTAAAACTGTCCGACCCATAAGGCCGCAGCAATCGACCGGAAGCATGTCGATGGCAGCATTTTTGAAGCAGGTGTCCCAGTGTTGGTCTTGAGTTTTGATTTCTCACATACACACAATGCATCCTTCACTATCTCTCAGGTTCGTCGTATGTTTTATGTTCGTCGCATATATATTGATTGACTATTCCATACACAGCATCTGTTAAGTCTGTGCCGTATCCGCTGTGTTCTGAGTGACGTCCGGTGCACGTCTGATTTTAAGACCTGCATCCCGCTCTTGGTCGGCACCATGTCCGCGTCTGATAACGTCACAATGTGTCTGAGCATGCGGCAGTGCCTGTGTCATTACGAGTCAAGGAGTCGTCTGTCTGCATAAGTCTACGACATATCGCAATGCGCACCGTAGAGGATGTTACTAATTGTTTGGGTGTGGTTACATTTCACATCGCATTTATGACTGTGATACGCCTTTCGCGTAACCCATGTGCGTAACCATGACGTGTGAGGTCGATGCTCACGTGCGCTCGTGCACCGTTGCCGCAGCGAAATTGTTGATGCGCATTTAGCGTACGAGGATCGTGACGTGTGGGTGGCATATAAGTCGTGACTAAAATGAAGGAAGTGAAAATGTGTTAAATGATATCGCTGAACAGATGTAAGTATTTCATGGTAGCAGTCCTCACGAAGACTTGCTTGCTTGAAATGTTTTGGAACAAAAAAAGGAACATCACGTTTGAATGAACATGGTGTAAGCATAGCAGGAGCCATAATTACTTTAAAGTTGCCTTGGCATAACATTTCATGTCCTGGACAGCTTCATTAAGTTCTAGATAAAATACGTTTAACTTTACAAAGAACTGTTCAGAAGGGCACAGCAGCACAAATACGCCGACGCAAACCATCAGCACATTTCAGCATTTTCACTAAATTCCCTTCAGCGCCCCTCCGACATACATTTGTTCGACATATGCTGGTGGTTGGACTCAATGCGGTTTCCTGGCCGTGAGCTTGATTCCCGTGATTTTTACCCCCGCGCCCGCCGCCTGCTGATGATGGTGCTGATGTGTTTGTCATACATCCACCTGATTGCTTTTCCGATGTCAGCATTCACTTCAGATGGGAGCGAGGATTCTTTCAGCGGCGCAATTCACTAATGCATTACGATATTTCTCTAGTGCGGACCTCAATAAGTGGCGCCGTAAGGCTCGCCGTCCGTGTCCGGCTTCTCCGCTAGTGTGGGTGCTGCGGTGTAAAATTTTCTGTGCCGATGCGGCTTCTGGTCAGAATTCGATAAAAGTAAAAGGTGAAAAGTGAAGTTTGATAAAAGTGTCATTTGACACTCAGTGTAGCTAATTTGACAGATCATGATATCTGATTTCAATTTATGCCGTTATTGCTGACTTACGCTAGATGATGCAAATACATAAAAGGCACGCAGCCATGTTCGTGAAGTGTTTTAAGCACGTCAGATGTTTTCTTCATCCTGTTCAATGAGGCTGAAACTGACAAGCGTTCCCGGATTTTAAAGAACGTGACGCAGTTGTCTCCAACCTTTCCAGGGAATGCCAGCAACTACGGTGGTCATTTTAACGCGCTGATGTGGAAACGGGCCTCGACCCGAGCTCGAGGCCTCTTGTGGAGAGCCCTGACCCGGGCTCTCCGTAAGAGACCTCGAGCTGCTAATAAGTTATTTTTACGGGTCCTTATCCTGAAAATAGTCGCACTGCATTATGTCAAAGTTTATTAGTTTTATCATCACGATCTATGTATCATTATGCTGACGAATGTTGTTAAATAAAATTATGAAATTATGTCAGACGAATATACCAAGCCAAATTTTACAAAATCGTGACGACGTTCGACGTTTGAAGGTAGCGCTCGCTGTCACGAGTCGTGACCAGAACACTGTCGTGGGACGTCGAGCATCCTCGGTGAACCTCAATGGGTGCTTCGGATTCTCGTTAACGAGGACCTGGTAGAGTGGAGGTCGGGTATTCTGCACAAAAAACTGGTTGTGCTGAAAACATGGGAATATTTCTTGCTTGCATCCCGTTTAACAACTATACTATCCCTTTCCTTATTAAAGGTTCACCGACAGGAAATCACCACTAGTTTTGTTTGAGTGAATCGAAAATTCCCTGTGGCCATTATGATAAGATCATGACATCACAGCTAACTGTGCCTAACATGTCAAATTATGTACAGAAATTTATCGTCATAAGCTGTTTGGTAGAATACATTTGCTAGAATTGTTAAGTGCGATACGCTACATGAAATATCCCTGCTAGATCTCCAAGAAAAGTAGTGATTTTATATAAACCGTAAGCGTGTCATAAAAAGAAGGTCAAAAATGGCATTGCGCTTTAAAATAACGGTCTACGACTGATAATGGCCATTTGCTGCGCATCCGTTATAGCAAATTTGTATTCGTATTGACAGAAGCTGTGCGGCTTTTTCAATACGAACACGAATATGAGGCTCGCTGTCCTTATTTGCTGGGATGCGCTGCACTGTGGCGACTACCGAAGCCAGCAGCATCAAGTAACCAACATGTTCTTATCATCCTGTTTAAAGGCCGGCACCGCGTGGGTTCGTCGACATTATTTACATTAGTACTGTTTGTCCGAACCGTTCAACGCACATCGATCAGAGGTTTAGATAATACGCCTCGGAAAAGCACCGACTGTTCTCAGTCTTTTCGCCTCTGGTAAACGCACCAGTCGAGTATCGTCCTCTGTTGTGTGCCGTGTGTCTGGATTTCCATCACCTGCGTTCCCGCTCCACGTTGAGGCAACCCCAGCCTCGACATGGAGAGCTCAGCATCAGGACTCAGCTCGCTTTTGGGTCAAGTGTTTGTCTGCAGGTTAGACCAGCGCTAAACGTCTGGCGCTGGACGGACCGTTAGTTTTGGCAGCGTTCGACGCTTGTGACGCCAGGTGACATGACGTGTGTTCATGGGAGCGGAGCGGACACGTTCACCAGTGCGAATACACAAGTTCTCGAGTCGGGTATTCTAGCATGTAAATACAGGATGTGGGTGTTTTGTACAATGTTGGACATGTACCATAATACATTCGCTTGACTACTTGGCGTTTGGTATGATATTGTAACGGTCAGCAAAAAAAGCCAGCCTTGATTGATGAGAAGGCTGTCCAGCAACTACGGAGCGGTACGCCTCAGTCGTAACACCACCGTATGGTCCGATCATCCACCAGTGATTTTAAGCGC